TTGTTCTTCATATTTAATTTTTAGGAAAAAATTCAGAAAGTGTAGAACACAGGTTTTGTTCGCCGTACAAGCTGTTTGGAGTTCTACTACAATTTGTGAAGATCATTGTATCCTGGAAGATAGATGCTATTTATCCGTAAGCACCGTAGCAGCGCGAATCTGTCTTAAGGACAGAGTGTCACACACTCGACTTGATCTCTTAAATATTTATTCGGTTAGGTAAAATAAATTCTGCAAATAATTTATTTTTATTTGTTTGATTAGTTTCAATTTATTTTGTACACAGAAGATTGCTCAAACACTAATTGTAGGAAAATATTTAAAAAAAAATTAATTTAATGCAAATAAAAAATAAACACAAAATACAAGAAAGTTAGAATAGTTTGTAATCGAGACCAATGTTTGAACACTGTATCTTTAAGAAAGAAATTCGCCTTCGCTTTCACCTCTGATGTTTGCGATTGATGAACGTCCTATCTCTAAAATACAACGATCATCACACCAAAATTACACAACTTTCTATGAATACATCGAACTAATTTGTTCTATACACTCTCTTTTTTATACTTGACTAGACATAATGTATGAATCTTAAAACTCAATGACATGGATATAGAAGTTATATAATTGGTTAAAATCATTCTAAAAGGTCATAACTCTTAAGTTGAACATTTTCATCTGAAGAGGCACCACAAAGAGTGTCTATCCTTCTTTTTTGAGTTTTTTATTTTCTATATTTTTGGTTTTCAGTGATTTTTTTAATATTTTAAGTAATTTTTTAAAATCTTTTTATTTATTTATATAGATATATTTTAAAAGCAAAACATTTGTAATTTTTTTAAAAAAATCACTAAATACAAAAAATATATAATTCAGTACATTTTTATTTTTTTGTTTTTATTGCTTTTTTTTTTTTTAAGATTTTCCACAAATAGGTGCATCTAATAAAAATGAACTAAACTATGAAATTTTTTTCCTAAAACTTAAAAAAATACAAGAACAAAAAAATTTAAACTGTTTTTATAAATTTAAAATCAAACAAAATGTTCTTTAGTTTAAAGGGTTTTTTTTTTTTTCCATAGAATTTGTTAAATTTATACATATAGTGACTTATCTATAAAAATTGCAAAATTTATTTACTTGATGAACCCTTAATCTTTAACCTAACGTTTTAATTAATGAATAATGTTTGAAACTCCAAAATGGGTGACTCTCATAAATCCCAATTGATGTGGACAAGATATATATGCATTTTTTTTCCCTCTCTCTCGTAGGTACGCAGGGGCTGTAGAAATTATGTTGTGTGAGAGTCAATATCAAAACCCTTAATTAATCTGGAGGGTTGTAACCTTAATGGTGCTTTTTGGCTACCAAATCTCTCTTAAGAGAAGATTTGGATTCTACTCTTAAAAATGAAAGGAAAGACAAGACACAAGTTCTTATAAAGAGAGAGTATAAATTCAACCCCCTTATATATTACATTCATAATTAATTACCGACTTTCGCTGGTTAAAATAAATATATTATGTCTTGCTTTAATCTAACACGTGATTGGTTCTTTCTCACCAGCCCCATTCCAGTTCTTAAACTCGTTTGGGAAGAGACTAATTTAGTAATTTTTTAGATATTTGACTAAAATATAAGCTAAAAAAAATTAGTATGTTTGGGATGACCTTTTAACTTTTTACGAAAAGATGTTCAAAAAATAAAGAGAAAAGACAATTTTTGACTTTTTGGTATGAATTGTTGATTTTTTAACTAATTTAATAATTTTTTGACTTTTTGACTAAAAAAAAAGGTTTCCAAACGAGGGCTTAAGTTTGACAAATGTTTGAAAACTAATTTTTTTTAGTGGAAAATATGTGGTTAAAAATTTGAACGTTTGACATTTAACAAACTGTGTGGGAAGTGAAATTTTAACTGAATTTAGGTTAAAATTAATAAAAAGATAAAATATGTTAAAATAGTTAATAAGACAAAATATTATATTAAAGTTATAATTATTTCACTTTTTCTCTTATAAACATCATATCCAACTATAAAAAAAATCCAATCATCTTTCCAAATATAAAAATTTTAGCCTATTAAAATAGCTAAAAATTAAAATAGCCCACTAAATTAACAACTTTCCAAACACCCACTAAATAAAAAGAAGATGTGCTATTTAGATCTAATAATTAGGTTTATTTTTTAAATTTGATGATGTACTATAGTCTATTAGAATATTTATGCAACTCTTTCTCACATCTATTTTAATTATTAACTAATTATTGAGTCTAAAAAGTTTAAAAAATAACTTTTTTTTGTCTTTTTTTATTTATTTTAAATAATGTTTTATAATGGCTTTTTATGTAAACATATGTCACAAAAATCCGTTTGGTTCAATTTTTTAATCAATTTTTCAAAATCCAAAATTTGTCTGGTTTACTTTTTTTGAAAACTCCCTCAAAAACTCAAAATTTGTTTGGTTTAGAATTTTTGAAAACTCATTCTAAAACCCAAAATCTGTTTGGTTTAGGGTTTTTACAAAATCAATTTTGTTGGGTTTTCATAAATTGATGAAATAATTTTTAATGCTATGATCTAGATAGACTTAAACAATAAACAAAATGTAAAGAACGCAAAAATAAATTTAATAAATACATAAAACATTAAAATTGTATTAATTTTTAGGTCTTTTTTTTTTGTATTTTTCATTATACAGTAATTTTATAAAAAGTAACATTTAAATATGAAACGTTTTAAATGTATGTAGATTGAGTGGATATAAAATCAGAAAAGAAGTGTTAAATTTTTTAAATCGTTCATAAAAAATAAAAAAACTCAATAACTAGTTTTAAAAACTCATAACTTAACAAGTTTTGAATTCAATTTTTTAAAAATTATTTTCAAAACTCATAACCAAATAAATTTTTAATTTTCAAAACTCAAAACTCAAAATTGATTTTAAAACTAAACCAACGTAGCGCATTTTTTTTTTAATACTTTGCCAGATGTAACCAAACACCCTAAACTTTTTTGTGATGTGAAAATTAAAAATTAGGCTTAAAAGCCTTTTCCAAACGAGTCCAAATCCTTTGTCGTTCTTTTCTGTAATGCTCTCTACAGTGTCCCAAAACGACGTCGTTTTTGAGCCCAAACACAAAAAGAAAACCCGGAAGCTAAGAGAGAAGGAAGGAAGGAACAGAGTCACCTCCGGCCCCATTATTCCTTCGGCGACTGTCGTTTTTGGCAGGACTCATCATCTTCCCCTTCCTCTCCCTCGTCACCCCGGTTGTCACTAATACCACCTCCGATAACTTTGATCACCATAGGAAGCGAAACAACACAACTCCAACAATATCCTCTCTTCTCTTTCTACTACGCATTTCTCTCTCCGCCCATTTCGCAATCTCCTTGCATTCCTATATTTTTCTAAAACTTAGCTGATTCAGATTAGAATACCTATTTTCTCAAATTTGGCAAAGAAAATTGTAGAAGAGTCAAAGGAGATTTGGCAAAGAAAAAGGAAAAAGGAACCCATTATTGATCGGAACCCATTAGCCATTTCACAAAGTGCGTACAAAAAGGAAAAATTGGTGTATTGCCAAGTGAAATTGATGGGTTGAGTTTAATTTGTATTGAGAAGGAAATTCATGAGTTTTTTTGCTAAAGCTGGAGCAAGATTTAAATAAGTGTGTGATTCAATGGAACATAATTCTCTTTGTTCCTTTCTTCTTCTTCTTCTTCTTCTTTGTTTCTTCTTCTCGTTCCTTCCTTCTTCTCTCCTAGCTTCTGTTTTTTGTTTTTTGCTTTTTTTTTGGCAGTGGGAGGGGGGGAGTTTGGCTCCAAAACGACGTCAATTTGAGGCACTACAAATAGCACTACATAGACGTACAACAGAGGATCTAGTCTCTTTCCAAACCCTATTGGTAGTTAAAAAAAAGAGAGAGTTATGGATACAACTAGTTGGGTAAAGTGTCACAATGCCTATGAGTTGAGAAATGATACGGTACACACCTTGTACATTTTTGTAGTATGTAATTTTTTAGTATATGAGTTGGTTGTGTGGTAAAAACTTACAAATAAGATTCAAATTCTTTAATTCGAGTCATTCCAACTAGAGGTTGCCGAACGTCTCATCAACTTCATTTTTAAGCCTGATAATAATAAACATTTTGAATTTTTTACTCATTAATAGGGTCTTTCTAAATAGAACATATATATCAATATGGTATGTAACGCAGTCGTCTAACTCCTACATTTAGAAATTTAGCTATTTTAAATTTTTTTTTGGGACTATTTTATGAGATAAAAAAAATTGTGTTTGATATGATTTGTTGATTTTTTTTTTTGTAATTGAATAAATAATTGTGAAAGAAAAAATAATTGATTAATGTGTAAAATATAACATTTTAATATTAATTATTTTAATATTTTTTTTATCTTTATCAACTATTTTCGCTAAACTTTACATTCCAAACACCCTGCTTTGTTACGATGAAACGTGATCCAAATTAAACAATCACATGGGCTTGTAATTTGGAATTATGATTCAATAAATTATTAAATTATAATATCAATATTATGGTGATGTCGTTGAAATTACAGTAAGTTCGAATGACAATTAACTAAATTATTAAAGGGGGAATTACACAACAACACTATTGTGTTAGAAAAAAATTTACAAAAAAGTGATAAATTTAATAAATACTAATAATTATAATTATAATTTTTTCACTTGTAATAATTTTTCAAAACTCCTCCAATATTTTTCCCATTATTAAAATTACAATATAATATGATTGTGTTAAAACTTCAGAAAATTTGCATCAAGGGAGTGCACCAAAGATTTTGCCTAAAAACACAAGTCATTTATTTTTAAAATTTTTCATCAAATCACACCAATCTAAACGGAAACGGAAACGGAAACGGCAACGGAGGTCAAGTTTTAAGCTGATGGAGCAGCAACGACTTTTTTAATTGTAATATAATTTTACTCACAAACTAACATTCTACAATTTTGGTGCACAAAAAAACCCGGAGTGTAAGTTATTTTTCCGGCAGATTTGATTAAAAAAGTGTCTATAGTCTATACATATATGCATTAGTAATAAAAGCAAAACCCATCAACTTCTTATTTTGGTAGACACAGCAACATCATTAATTTTCTTGTGAATTTTCATATATAGCTTTACTCAATACTCATCTGAAAATACTCTTTCTTCTTCATGAAGGCCAATTCCTATACCAACCAGCCCAAGCAGACACCAAACCACTTATCCCAAGTGTGACTGCATGGCCACAAAATGGGTTCGGTTCAACATCTGCAATTGCAATAACCAAATCTGCAACATTAGCAGCCACAGCCATCAACCTCATCACTCTCTCACCTCTGATTTTCCCAACACTTTCCTTCGATTTTTCCTTCTCGCCAATCAACTTTCTCTCTGCCTCCAACCCTTCTCTTATGGCAATAAAATCAGACACAATAAAGAAAATGTACCCAAAAGCCTCACCAAATGCCGAAATGAAGCTCATTTTTATAGCCAGCTTTGCATCAAGGACTCCAATTCTTGAGAGCCAAAGAAAGTGGTCAAAGAAGAAGTAAACCATCTCACCTGCATTGGAAAGGATGGCTAGGAGCTGGAAAGCGGGAGTCAAGCCGGGGCTACGCCGGAGGGAGTTGAAGCCAGTGAGGAAGCGGCCTGTACGGAAGGCTTTGCGGCTGAGCCCGGAAGCCACTTCCCATTGCTTGGCTCGGGTAGCAATGTCGCGGTGAGTGGATTGGAGGCGAAAGTGGAGGAGCTTGGAGATGTATTGGAAAGTCTTGACAAGCTTGTCAATGCCATCTCTCTTGGCTAGGAAGATGACTAGCTTGTCTACTGTATCATTCATGGTTGAGTTGGGGATAAAGGTGTGTTTGGTTGTTGTTGGTGAAGAGAGTACAAGATTGGGCTTGTTTGGGAGGTTTTGTGTGTGAGAAGATTGAAGGAGAGCCACAAAATTATAGGGTTTTTGGATAATAGAGAATGCGAGATATATATGGTTGGACCTTGTTTATCTTTTGTTTTCTATCAATAGTTCTTATTTTGTCATGAGCAAAGACTCTTCATTGCCACCAATCTTGTGAAATGCATTTTCAAGCAAATTTCAACTTGGTTTAAATCATGAATTTTGACTAAATTTTTTTAAAAAAACTTATATTTTATTTACATTTTTTTTAATCATTTTCCTTTCTAAGTCTCTATTGAAATTGATGACGCAAGCACCATCTTAAATTACTAATTAATGATTGTCATGATAGTGATCTTTGAAACCTTTTCCCTGTTACACAAGAACACAATCAATCCACAATTAATTAGAAGTTTCACTATTAAAATTATTTGATAATTTTGTTACGATATTAATAGTAATATCCACCTAAGCTATGTTTTCTTGAGTTCTTTTACTATTAGTGTATTTTATTTTGCTCATCCTTGATTTACATGCACTAATCTACTTTTGTTGCCTATAAGATGCCCTTTTTTTAAGGTATTGGATCTTTTGTTTTTAAATATTTCTATTACTCTATTTTAATATACTTTCAACTATTTAATTATATCTTAAACTTTTTATATCTCAAGATTCTCACATAATTTAATGACTAATTAATGTATAGGGACACACTAATAGAAACATTTGAGAATAGAGAAATGGTAATTACCCTTGTTGAGTATTCATTTCATGCAATAACCTATCTTTGTTGCTTACCGCAACTACAAGAAAAAATACCTTGGCGATCACTTTTTTTGAGATGGTCGCAAAAAGTACATTAATCTGTGACTAACATTTATTTTGGTCACGGATGATTGTGTTTTTGCGACCAACATTTTTTTGGTGGCTAATAGGTAAGTATTTGTGACCAAATACAAAATGTGGTCGCAGAAAGTAATGGCGGGAGAGCGAAAAAAAAAGGGCGGGACGTCAAACCTTTTGGTGACCAGTAGATTGTGGTCACAAAAAGAAAAAAGGATATACTGTGCAACAAAACTACGTAGTTTTGAAATTCCTTCATTGTTGCCCTATTTCCTTAATCAAAAACACATTTCCTCTTTTATCACTCTCAATACTTTCGATTGGTTCATTGAAACCCTAGCCACTATCTCTTCACTTCGTCCCCTATTTTTGTTGCTCTTCATCTTTCGCGTCCGCCATTGTTCTTACGAGGTCAGTGTGTGTGTGTGTGTGTCTCTCTCTCTCTCTCTATCTCTCTTTGTTCGTGTATATATATATATATATATAATTGATTGACCTTCCTTTTTCATCATTGCCCTCTTTGAACTCCCTATGTTAGATTGGTTACTATCCTGCAACTCTTCACTTTCTACATTTCCAATCGGTTCATCGAAACCCTAGCCACCATCTCCATTTAATTCATCCCCTATTTTGCTACCTTTTCATCTTCGGCTCCATCATTGTGCTTACTAGGTCTCTCTCTCTCTCTCTCTCTCTCTCAATATACAATGTTTTTTTTTTAGATCCCTCTAATCAGTCATGTTTCATCGAATTCTCTCTCTAATTTGTCAACTGTACTCTAGTTTCTTCCATCACCCACTGTCTATTAGATTTCTTTTCCCCATCTATGATACGACTATTTACTCACTGCCCTCATTTCTATTTCTAGTGAAGAATCCATATCTATGTCTATATATATATATCTCTATACATATTAGATGTTATATCATCAAATTCAAATCCATATCTATGTCTACATCTATATCTCTAAAGTTTTTTCGCTAATTAAAAAAAATAATTTAAATCTTTAGGACATGATTTGCCTTGACAAATCAACATCAATGGTTTTGGTTTCTATTCATTTATAAGTCTTTAGGTTTTGTTTGGACATTGAACTTGGGGAAGGATTTGTAGAGAATGGAAATATGAATAAAATATCTATTCAATTTTTTTATTTTATTCCCTTTTTCGTCTGTCCATAAGTCTCTTTTCGAATTCTAAATCCAAATGTAGCCTTAGCATTACTCAAACCATAATTTGCTCCAATGTGATTAACAAAATTATTGTTATGATGCTCCACACATTGATCTTTTTTGGTATATCTCAATATTTTATTTACATTGTATTTTCATCAATAAAATTTTCATTTTGCTGATAAAAAAAATAAAATTATGATTGTATATTGACTTTGTACAAGATACAGTCCAAGTTGAATTAATTTCTTTTCATTTTTATTGTTTACCTAAGCTGAATTGGTTTTAGATTTTGGAAATAATAAATTTTAGAAAACCACAAATGTCACGTTTGCTTTGCAAATAAGAGGTAGATTACAATTATTTTAATTTGGCATAAAAACTATTCTCATTTATTATACCTTGTAAAAATTCAATTGTAATGGATGCTACTAAGAAATATAGTTCAGTAATAAGATACATTAGGTTTTGGAAGATTACTCTGTGCTCCAAGCAATTGTAAAGCTGCCATGTGTTAGATGAACAAAGTTGTTACTATTGCATAGAAATGTATCAGTTGTTTCTTTGAATTGGATGAACAAAGAGCCCAAGGTGTTCTATAGAGTAAGAAAATACAATTATATATGCATGTATATATATAAGGAATGAATGTGTGTGCTATAGAGTAAGGAAATTGTAGAGAGAGAGGGAAATATGCATATATATATAAACTGAATGTGTGTGCTATAGAGTAAGGAAATCCTGCTTCTCTCCTATGGCATCTATACATCTCTGTTCGCATTCTTTTGCTGTCTCTGTCTTAATTTTAACTCCTTTACCTGTTACCTCTTGTTCTGCATTGTAGAGTAAATACAATAATATTTGTATTGCATTGTAGGAATGGTCAAAAAGAAACATAGACAACAGAAAAAATTTACCCTATAATCATGTTATGGGTTCAAGATAATTTTTAACAGCAATCTCAATTGAGGTAACTGTAGACCGCCCGAACTCGCTCCACGCGCGAGAGCGCGAATTGGGTTCTAGTTACTACAGTTCGAACTCCTGTTACGGTTCTGAATCTAATCTCACAAAGTGCAATGTAAGACTGATAAATCACCAAAGAGTCCAAATCCGGCAATTGGTTTTGAAAAATCAATTTTGAATCAAAAGTGCCAAATATGGACTGCTTTGCCAGATTTCAGAGTCGCCACCTAAATATTTTATTTTGGGAAATTTAGGAAACTCTAACTCGTGCCTAAGGCCACGTGTCCGTCATCACCAAAGTTGCCTTGGCTCGGGAACTTGGGTACGAAGGGGGAAGGTCATGAAATGAGCACCACCGCTCGCCCGATCAAAGGATCGGCCTCTACTAAACATGATATGTTATTTTGAAAACACATGAGTTTTTATTCCGGTTTATTAATCTAAAATTACTATGTGATGCGCGCAACACACAAGTATAGTCTAAATCACTTAATTTGGAACAAAACATCTCATGTTTATTTTTCGAAAATGGTTTGGAAGTGCTACTCGCAAATAGGCTAAGACGTGGATTTTCCACCAAACAAGGTGGGCTTAAAATATGATGATTTGCCACTTCAAGTGGGCTTAAAACTCACATTTTGATGAATTATTCCAATTCAAGCAATGAAGCCTTCATCCATAGGCATTCATGCAGTTATATCATTTAAGTAAATAGCCTCATGGCAAGCATACTGACATGGCAACACTTACACACATGCAAGGATGCTAAAGCATAAACACTTACAGTGTACTCCGAGCCAAAACAGAAAAACTAGTTAGAAATCATGCATGATCCTAGCTATGTTAAGATGCCTAATGCAGCACATGCAAAATGCAACTAAATAGCCTCGGCTATCTAAGATGGCATATGAATACAATTCTTGAAAACATGTATTCAAATAGGTATTGAAATACAATGCAGTTTGAATGATGCGTCGAGCCCGGTGCATACAAGACAAATGAATGATACACGCATACAAGCATAAGGTATGCTAATTGAAATATGCCCTAAACTAACCATCAAAAGTTGATAAGTAAAAGGGAGAAAGAAGTGGGGATTGAAAGACATGCACACACACACGCACCCTTATTACAACAATACGCCCTCTCGCAGGAGGGTCCGAATAAATCAACTAACTAGCTACGCTAAGCTAATTAATTACAAACCGAATTGAAACTAGCTATACTAAGCTAATTAGAATATTACAAAGATAAAATAAATTAGCTAAATACATTAACTAATTAATTACAAAACCGACAAATTAACTATCTAAACAAAATAGTTAAAATGGCCTCGAGGGGAGGGAGATATGTATGCTCGGTTTGCCTCGCCCGGAAATGCATTGCCATGCCATAAGTTGTCTCTGTTTGCACTCGCGGTGACCTCAGAACATCGAATGCATTTTCAAGTTGCATCGGCCCCAAAATAGGAGCATTCTGGACATATTTGCTGCAAGTGGTTGGCAGGCCACTTTAACTGGTCAGCAGGCTACTTTAACTGGCCGGCAGGCCACTTTCCTTTCCAGAACCTCAACTTTGCTGCAACAGAGATCAACAAAGGCACAACAATGCATTTACAATGAAATGTGTGTGCAACTACTCTCCTTATCATTTCTCAAGCTCAAGAGAGCGTAGTACTCGACTCTCAAGCAACCAATCACGCATCTCAACGCATGATGGCCAAAGAGCCAAGCTCGCACAATATTAGTGAATGCATAAACAACACATAAAAGCCTCCGCATTTATCATGCATGATCAAGAGGGTTGGTGACCAAGAAACGTAACACATTTCATCACTTTGAGTATGAAACGTGCCACATTCCTTGTGTTTGGATTAACGTCCGATCTAAACACAATGCAATGCAACAAGATGCTTATGTTTTAATGTTAAAGTGGCATGCACAAGACTCTATCAATTAAACAATGCATTCATGACATGTTTAGAAGCTAAGGCATCAAAGCTAGTGAAGTGTATTACACATGAGGCATATGCTACAATGCTCAAATGGTCAAACCAAC